TTACAGGTTTTTTTTTTTGCCTCTCTTCCTCATTTAATCAACCAAAATACTTTACATTTTCTTTTAAAAAAATTCAATCTATTCTGAGCCATTGTACAATTCCCAGCCCCCCAACCCCCCTCCCCTGCACACACACCACTTCCCCCCTATTGCTATAACTTAACTTATAAAATTTATCTTTGCAGACCCCCCGCTTCTCAGTCCAGGTACCTGGAAGGCAGCACGGAAAGAAGAAACGGGGCAAGCCGGGCACAGGGTGCGAGACCGGTCGGACCATGAACGGTAGGTGATGGGGAAGAGGGACAGTCCAGTTGTTTTGAGTGATTAAATGCATAGTTGGATTTTGTCTGTCTTCTCAGCAAGGCCCTAATGGCAAACTAACCCCCTTCCTCAGCAAACAGAGAGGAAAGGAATGAAAGAAAATAAAAACAACAACTCCCCACCAGGGACTGTATTTTGTTGGATTCCCAAGGCCAAAGGGAGCAAGGAGGAAAGGTGACTGCAAATGACTGCAAAAAGCTGGCACGGAAGGAGGAGGTTGTTCCAGGAAGATGGGAGGCAGGAGTATTTGATTGAGCAACCTGCTCCCGGTCTCACCTCTTGCAGGATTTTGGTTCAGACCCCTAGGTAGCCAAGCATGGGAGGCAGGAGCCCACCTCCTTGAGCAGCAACCCCAAGTCACACTGGTGGCTCCAAAGCCAAGGACACCTCTGTGTGTAACAGGGGCCAGGCAATGTCCAGCCACATTCCCACTCCTGGGAGACCAAGGCTCCCCAGACTCACCGCGGAGCACACTGGCCGGGGTGAGAGCTGGAAGTCAGCACCTCTCCAACACAGCAACAAGATCCCTGCGAGGATGCGTCGTGTGCAAGAGGAACAAAAAAAACCAAACAAAAAACAAACAAAAAAGAGAATGCCTCCTGTGGCCCCTCCACGCAGGAATGTTTCTGCTGGACTGAGATTTCACCCCGAACAAGCTGAGAGGGGTTTGGTGAGTGGCAGCAGATAAAGCTAAAATAGGAGAGGCCAGAGGGGCACAGAGGTAAAAGATGCTCAGGTTAAAGGGTTGGGGGGAGCACCTGGAGACTAGAGGAACATGGGGACCTCAGCCTCAGATGCCCAAACCCTTCTGTGTAGGAAGGGACAAGGCCCTCGGCTTCACTGGGCCAGGAAATATTAAAAAACAAAACAAAAAAAGGAGGTGGAAAACCCACCCAACTATAGTCTAGGAAGGGACCAAGCTGAACTGGGGAAGCTGAGAGAACACCAAGGGAAGACAGACACACACTTCCAGAGGAAAAAAAACAAGCATCCCTGAATAACCCTGCTCCAGGCATGCAGATACTGCCTGGGGACCTCGGGGGATCAAGACCCCAGGGCTCGGCTCCGCAAGCCTCCTTCCTGTCCTCCCCAACACGTTCTGCAGAAGGTCATGGGAGACCAGACCTGAGAACCAGTCGCCCGACCTCACGCCCTGAGCGCCCCGGGGCTGAGGGCGGATGGTGGGTGTGTGTGCTCGGGCCCCGCATTCCT